CAAGCCATCAGCACCAGAGTCAGCAGCAACGCACGTGTTCGCGGTCACGGCTGAGCAGCTAGAGCAGCAGCTAAAGCGGTTCTGGGACTTGGAGTCTCTCGGTATCCAGCCCTTGGATGGGAACCCAGTGCAAGCAGCGTTCGACGAGACGATCAAGTTTGCTGACGGCCGCTACACTGTGAGCCTCCCGTGGAAAGAAGTCCACGCTGTGCTGCCGGACAATTTTGGACTGAGCCACAAGCGGCTATTGTCTCTCACCAACAAGATCGAGAAGGTGCCAGACGTGTTCAGTGAGTATGCCCGTGTCATGGCAGAGCAGCTGGCAACTGGCGTCATTGAAGAGGTACCAGCAAACGAAGTCGGCGAGGTGGGTGAAGTTCATTACATTCCCCACCAAGCAGTGGTCCGCAAGGACAAGGCTACCACCAAGGTGCGGGTGGTGTACGATGCCTCAGCACACGCAGGGAAGAATCCATCCATCAACAGCTGCCTCCACTCCGGGCCGAACTTGCTGGAGCACATCCCAGACATCCTCCTCCGCTTTCGGTGCTATCCAGTTGCCCTGACTGGGGACATTGAGAAAGCGTTTCTCATGCTCAACGTATGCGAGCACGACCGGAATGCGCTGCGGTTCCTGTGGTGGGATCGGCCGTTCTCGAGCGAGCGGCAAGTGCAGGTGTACCGGTTCGCTCGCGTGATGTTCGGGCTCACATCGAGTCCATTCCTCCTCAACGCCACACTGAAACATCATCTCGAGCAGTACCGGCAAGAGGATCCGGAATTCGTTGATGAAATCAGCCGCAGCATGTACGTCGATGATCTGGCAGCCGGCGCAGCGGATGACGAGGAAGCAGTGGAGCTGTACACGAAGCTCAAGGTCCGCATGGCTGATGGTGGGTTCAATATACGCAAATTTGCGTCAAGCTCCGCAGCTGTGCAAGAGCACATCAACCGCACAGAAGGAGATACGGCTGCAGTTCACCCTAGCTCCGGGACAGCGTGCGAGGACGACTCCACGTACGCCAAGGCATCACTGAATGTACAGCCCCATGATTGTGACAAGGTTCTGGGTGTCACGTGGGACCGCCAGACTGACAGCATAACGGTGGACATCGCGTCAGTCTTCGACTCAGCAAAGGAACGGCCTACGAAGCGTATTGTCTCATCGCAAGCGGCACGGTTGTTCGATCCACTCGGCATAGTATCGCCAGTCACGGTCAAGCTCAAGATATTCTTGCAGCAGCTACATGTCGCCGGTCTGGACTGGGATTCACCGCTATCAACCGAACAGGAGCGCGAGTGGGCATCCCTGATGAGTGCACTTCAGCGAGCAGCACCAGTGCGCATGCCACGATGCTATTTCAGCGGCGCTACAGCAGACGCCAAAGTGTCGCTACACGGGTTCTGTGACGCTTCACAAGCCGCGTTTGCCTCCGTCGTGTACCTGAGGATCGAGGCTGCGACCGTGTCCATTCAGTTCGCCATGGCGAAGACCAGAGTAGCACCGACAGCGAAACAGACCATCCCACGGCTCGAGTTACTCGCAGCGTTGACGCTCGCCCGTCTGTTGGTCACAGTACGCCAAGCCCTGGACAAGCAGATCACGGTAGCATCGACTCACTGCTGGACCGACTCACGAGTTGCGTTGGGTTGGATCACCAACACGGAGCAGGAGTGGAAGCAATTCGTGCACAACCGGGTGTGCGAGATCAGGCGACTCACCGACGTCAGTGTGTGGGACTTCTGCCCAGGCACCTTGAACCCAGCCGACATTCCGTCACGTGGTGCTACGCCGGACGAGTTGCATACGTCGGTCTGGCTAACAGGCCCAGCATGGCTCAGAGAGAGTGAGCGGCCACCGGGTACGAGCTTCACGGAGGGAGAGCAAGTCCCTGAGGAGTGTCGGCAAGAGTTAAAGAAGTCAGCTCAGGTCACAAGTCTGGTGACTACCGACGCAACTAGCAGCAGCATCAGCGCCATTATGGACTGCACACAGTACAGCTCCTATCAGAAGTTGCGGCGAGTTACAGCGTACGTGTTGAAGTTCGTGAAGCTCGTGCAAGGCCGACGAGACGAAGCAGCCGCAGAGACGGTACTGCTAGATGAAGCGCAACGGCTATGGATTGCTGACGTGCAGCAGTCATCACCAGACGCAACCAACCGCATCGCCAAGGCTAAGAAGCAGCTTGGCATCTTCGCAGACGAGTCAGGTCTGCTAAGGTGTGGTGGAAGATTGCAGGCAGCGGATCTGTCGGCAGGCCAGAAACACCCAGTACTGCTGATACCCGGGCACCACGTCACCGAGTTGATCGTCGCTGACTGCCACGAGCGAGTGCTGCACAATGGTGTACCAGAGACGCTGACGGAGCTACGAGCTCAGTTCTGGATATGTCGTGGTCGTCAGTACGTGCGTATGTTGCTGCACCGATGCAGACTCTGCAAGATGCTGGAGGGCAAGCCGTACGCGGGACCACCGCCACCTCCACTGAGTGGATTTCGCACGCAGGTCGGCTACGCGTTTCAGCACACAGGCGTTGATTTCGCCGGTCCGTTTCATGTGCGGACAGCGCAAGATGTGGAGAAGGCATACCTGGTACTGTATACGTGCGCAGTCACCCGAGCAGTGCATTTGGATCTCGTCAGCGATCTTAGTACAACCACCTTTCTCCGGAGCTTCCGGAGATTTGTAGCGCGGCGAGGAGTGCCGGCAGTTGTGAAGTCCGACAACGGCAAGACCTTCAAGGCAGCTGCACGTCTCTTACGAGACCTCCATGTGGAACCGGAGACGAAGAGCTACTTGCAAGCCAAGAACATCCGTTGGACGTTCAATCTGGAGAAGGCACCTTGGTGGGGTGGCTTCTTTGAGCGACTCATCAAGAGTGTCAAGCGATGCGTCAAGAAGGTCCTGAGGTCGGCGCAGATTACAGCTGACGAGCTATTGACATTACTCGCAGATGTCGAGGCAATTCTAAACTCGCGCCCGTTGACGCACGTTTCGACGGAGGATGTACGAGAGCCGCTGACGCCATCTCACCTGCTATGTGGCCGAAGAGTTCTGTCACTACCTGACATGGTCGCCGACGATCCTGACGAAGTGCCTGTAAGCCGCAGATATGCCTATCTGCAAGAACTCCTGCGTCACTTCTGGTCTCGGTGGAAGAATGAGTACTTGCTGGAGCTCCGGAACAGCCACCGTATCGGACGTCACACCGATGTTGATACTATCGCCGTGGGTGACATTGTGGTGATTCACCAAGACGGGGTTCAACGCGGCCTGTGGAAGCTGGGAGTCGTAGACAGCTTGCGTCCAAGCGAGGATGGTCGTGTCCGAGGAGCTGTGGTGCGCGCAACAACGAAGAGCGGCCGACCGACAACGCTAAACCGGCCGATTCAACGCCTCTATCCGGTTGAACAGCTTGTCGTGGCACCAACCGCAGTGACACCTGAAGAGTCGACGCAGCAGATGCCTGATGCAGCGGACGACACGCCTGTCGAGGACGCAGCAGATGCCAGCCCAGTTCCGGACACCCGGCAGACACGCCCACGTCGGGCTGCAGCTCAGCGAGCGCAGCAGGAGCGACAACAGCTTATCAGTGCCAACAGGTTGTGAGTATGGCAGTGCACCAGCAGTCGCATCTTTCTATTCTAGCGTTGTAATTATGTAGTTGACTATTGAATAGTCAAGGATTGAATAGTCAAGGAGGGAGTGTGCGAGATTTATGAGTGTCAGTTGTCATGTTGTCAAGGAGGGAGTGTGCGAGATTTACGAGTGTGATTTTGAGTGTGATTGGACAGGACACTGCGCTGAAATAGAATGAGTGTTGTTGTGATAACATCATTTACGAGTGTGTTGTTACAATACAGTGTTTGTTGTGCGTGTTTGTCGGATACGCCGATATAATCAGTTGCATAGATAATACTTACGTTGTTGCTTGCATTCTCGCTCTCCACAGCAACTCCACTGCGTGCTGCTTTCTATGTATTCCTATTCTGTACAC